GTTCCTGGCCCCTTGTCTATGGTTAAGGTTTGGATAATTTCTGGCTGGTCATGTTGCTTTTTACTGTTCTTGGTTGTTATGAAGCTCATCTATACCTTCTGTCAGTCTACACAAGATCTAATGCATATTCAATAAAATTTCTTAGTTTTATATGCAAAAATATAAAAATTGGAGCTAGAGAAGTTAAATGGCTGATTCAGAATCATACTGCATCGTGGAAGAGTTTTGGTTCTTTTGCTTCCATGTTTCCTCTCATCAAATTGAGGGCTCCTGATAGCACACTCTGAAGGGTTTGGTAAACAAAATGAAATTGTCTCAGGCTGAGGATGGGCTTGTCAAGGGGGCAAATGAAACTCCTACTGTGCATCCAAGAAGGAAAGGTCAAATAACACAGTGAATTCAGCTGGAGGCTGGTATATTGGGCTTCAGCTGCTTATGGTGGTACCCAAATAAATTTTCCAAATGGCCTTTACAACTATGAAAAGCAAAATATTTCTATCAAAAGTCCTGATCCAAAGTTTAGTTTAGCAGCCATGTGAACATGGGCATTCAGTTAAGCTCTCTGAGCCTACCTTTGCTTTCCTAACCACTAACCAAAAATCCTTGCCAACAAGTTAAAGAAAACAAGGGAAAAGAAACTATCCAGATGACCTCTTCTGAGTTGGTAAGCACAGTCCCATGAATTAGTTTCCAGGCAGGGACCCAGAAACTCCCATTGATAGGTCCTTCCTCCTTCCTCTTCCTAGGCAACAATCTGGTTTGAGTAGCTTCCACTAGGAAGCACTTAAATCATCTTGTTTTCTGGGGGAGCAGGCCCTGCTACAGGAAAACTAATGCTTTCTGGGGGAACAGTCCCTGCTATAGGAAAAGTAATGGCTTATTCATAAGGACTCTTCTCTGGAGCTGTGTATGGAAAAAACGCATTGCAAAATGGACAAGATTGCTGTGCTCCTCATTGTATTTCTGTCTGCAAATAGGTAGACTGAGTCCAGGCATCTTGTCATTAGGCATATTAGAGAAGGAAGCATTGCAAGCTTGTGTTCTGCAGTGGTAAGGAATAATCCTGCAGAAAATATGGGACTAAAAATGCTGCAAACTCCTGGTGAGATAGGTTTCTACTTAGGGCATCTTTTCTGAGTAAACCAGGAGAGAGTTTCATCTCTATTCATTTATTCCTTCACATATTTATTAATTTGAGCAATGTTAATGCTTCCTTTATTGTAGAAACTAGTGCTTTATAATGTGGGAATATGAAACAGTATGCTCTCTTGGCTAGTCCCAAAGTGTTCCTCAAAGTGGCACCAAAACTAAAGGTTGAATCACGGGTGCTGTACTGAGTTGTCACACTGTACCCCAAACACATGCATCACCGTTACGTATCAGTTACAAGTAACAATACATGTTTTAAAATTTATTTTATTTTATTTTTAAAGTTATTGTTATCATTTAAGACCATTTTATTTATTTATTTTTTGTTTAAAAGGTAATAAAACAGAACAATAAGGCGAATCAAAGCAAGTATTGGCTTGAGTTCAAATTCTTTTGCAAATCTTATTGGCTGGTGACCTTAGCAAGTTATAAGATTTCTTTGTCTGTAGTTTCTTCTTCTATACAATGTGAATGATAATTGACTTTACTTTATGAAGATTAAACACTTAGAACAAATGCCTAGTGTCCAGTAAATGTGAATGTTTTCAATCAGTGGCTAAATAAATTAGACTGGAAGAGATACACGAAAATGAGGAAGTCATGGGCAATGGTGAAGTTGTTAGTTTATTTCACTCTTTGTCCCTCCCTATTTGGGTCCTCAAATTCCTTCTTCACTTCCTTGTGGGGAAATGTCTTCTAAAATAATGAATTTTGAAGCTCCTTCTAGAAGTATTATTGTTAGCAAATTAGAAGTTTGTTGTCACGTTGCTGCTCCATTCTGGCATGAAGGATATGTTGAGTTAAACTTAGGTGTGTGTTCCGCAAGCTCTGGTTATCTGTGTCCTTGTACCAGTGGTAAATGGGCATGTTGCTGGTGATAGACTTAGTCCAGATGCCTTGGCAGCTGTAGAGATAGGTTGCAATTATAATATGATGCAGAGGATTATAGTATCAAGAAATTTGCGATGTTGTAGATGTAAGAGAATGGAAATGGAAAATGTTGGTATGGATATACTTGGAAAGGTTTCCAAGAGAGGTGATAATTCCAAAATCAGGTTAAGCTTCCAGGAACCACTCAGTATCAATCAAATCTGTGTCCCTTGTCCAAAATTACACAGCTAATTCTGGAGAATGAAGGACTTATGGTTTTCTTGTGAGTCCTTTTTTATAGAGTTATTGGCTATTAGAGACAGTCCATAGTGAAGGAGTCTGACAGACTAAAGCACATACATGAGATGTTTCCTCAGCTCTCTGTGAATTAAAAAGCTAAGTCAAGACCAAATTTAGATGACAGGAAAAAAAAAACTCAATATAAAGAAAAGCTACTTAATGGTTGCTCTTCAAATATGAATGATCTTCCCATGGCAGGATTGGGTCCCTTGTTATTGTGTCTAATTGGTGGCAGGAAACTTGGTAGGGGGTTGTTAGGACAATGCTATCTGTAGAAAAAAGCCAGCGTCTTGATTCAGTCTACAATTATCCTTTGTTCACGTGGTAAGCAAGTGAATATTCCCGTAGTTCTCACAATGAATAAGTGTTTCTGTGGCAAATATTGTTCTTCCCTGAGGTGATTCAGGGCACTAGGCTTCTTCATTCTCGGCTCCACAATCACCTCGGGCTGCAGAGTCTGCTCATTTAAGGAAACATGACTGAGAAAGACGGATAAGAATGACCTCTTGCCTACCTTGGCCTACACATGACAAGTAATACTTCTCTTCATGGCTTAGTGTTGGTAGTTGGCAATGTGGTCTTTCTTAGAACAAGAGAGACATAGATGTGGTCCCTGGGTAAGAATGAACAGGGGCTCTCAATTGTGATTGGACAGCTGACCACCATAGGACTGAAGCCTGAGATGGAGGTTGCTTAGTGACCTTTAAGGTTCCTCCAAACTTTGAATTCTGTGACTCCATTATATGCTGATTTTCTTTCTCACTACTTTTGCACTCTTGACATACTCATTTACTCTTGTACAGGTTGGGTTGATTCATCTGCAAAATGAGATTAATAAATCTCCCTCAGGTAACAATAACTCAGGTGTAATGCTTGAAACACTGTGTCAGCTTGAGGACTGAGAAGTTTAGAAACTTACCTAAGTGATTCAGCAGAGGGCTTGGAGCCTCACCTTGTAAACGTCTTGATCCATGTAAGAGGAGTGCATGGAGTGGGAGTGTAGCCTGCACACAAAATAAGAGAGGAAAAGACGCCTTGCTCTCCCTCCTCCCATTTTTTTTTTTTTTTTTTGCTTTTGCTGCTTTTGCTGTCTTCTGCAAACTTGAACAGTTGCCCCTCTGCCATGCCACCCTGTCTTGGAGACAGCTGATTACAGACTGAAACCTACACAAATTGTGAGCTAAATAAACCTTTCCTTCCTTAATTTTGGTTGTTAGGTATTTTGTCTCAGCAAAGAGACAAGGAGCTAAGACATCTCGGTTCTGAGAGTCAGATGAAGTCATATGCGAAAGTGTTTCTTAAATTTGAAAGTATTCTAAATACATGAGGTATTATGTTTAGATTCATTTATCATTGTCTTGACCCGCCATTAAGGTTAGATTTCTTTTATTTGTCTTTGAAAGGTTGTGATAATACTCCAGGGAAAATACACTGAATAATTTACATTTCTATAGTTTTTTTAATATGGAATGATCCAAAAATAAGTTCAAGAAAAATAATATTCAAAGAAAAAAATAACTACATATAATATAGAAGAGCCTCTGCCTGTCGTGTAATTGCTTCAATGATTTATGCCTAATAAAGCATAGAAATGTAGATCAGCCAGGCTTGGTGGTACCTGCCTGGAATCCCAGCACTTGGGGAGGTTGCATAGTAGTATTTATTGCAAGTTTGAAGGTGGACAATTTAGTAACTTAGTTAGACTCTACCACAAAATAAATAAGACATGGCCTGGGAATGTATCTGAGTGTGAACACCCTGGGTTTAATCCTCAGCATCATCCCTCCAAAATATAAATAGACAAGAGAGTCATTTGTTACTTTGGGGAAGCATTGTGAAGTTACAATAAGAGCAGAGGAAATCATGGGTGAAGTCTAATAATAAAAGATATTACCATTATAATTATTATGCAACTTAATTGAATTGACAGGAAGAATATGCTACAGCAGGAAGTATTCGATTAACTGAGATCTAGGGCTGACGATATTTCAGATTACCAAATCATTAACCTAAAAGCACACTGAGGAGTCACTTGCTTCGCCTTCTCAGTAAATAGATCAAGAACTAAGGTCTGGAGTGACTGCCGAGATTACAGAACTAGTTTTCAATGGCCTTACTCTGCACAGAAGGAGAGAAGAAATACATTTCAATGTGGAATTTTCAGAGTTTAATGTAGCTCTTCTCAACACCTGTACAACAGTACTTTCTGGTCCAATCTCCTGAAAATCATAATGTTGTTGAGGAAAGATGTGAAAGACACCAGAGATTGGGCAGAATGTATGTGTTCTCCACAATGTATGTGGTTTATTTGTTTCCTCTTTTGGACAACTCATATGCAAAATTGTTTTCTCTAATTTGATGTATTCTACTCCAGTTTCTGATTTTCTGAGTGTTTTAGAAAAACAAGTTCGGAGATTTTATTGAGTCATTAACAGTGATAATATTAAGTGTAATGTCCCACTATAAAAAAGTAGATTAACTTGTAGCAGAATAAAGAAACTGGAAATAACTAAGCACCGTGTGATAAGCACCATAAAATAAATCAGCAGATGGTGATAGATGGTGAGACAGGAAGAATTAGAATTTGTCTGGGACTCTGGAGTTCTCACCCTGCCCTTTACGTTCTATATTTAACATCAAATGGCAGAACAAGGTCACTACGCGTAGGAAGCTGGAGCCAGTCCAGTCTACTAGCATGAAAGCCATGCACTTTGCAACTCTCCCTCTTCAGGCTGTGCATGTGAGGGGATGGATGGCAACAGGATTTCAGAGAAATTACTTTGCCCTGAATTGAGAGGACACCCATCAGCAAGCCTTCAACAGCAGGTCAGAGGAAGTTCTCCATTTATACAAGTGTGGATGGAATCTGTGGCGGGCCACTGCCAGTTACTACACTAGCTATGAGTAGAGAGTGCTGATTAAGGTAGATGTCATGCTTGTTTTGGGTTAGAGGATTCTGGAGGCTATAACGTGTGTGTGTGTGTGTGTGTGTGTGTGTGTGTGTGTGTGTGTGTGTGTTTATATAGAGTTTTGGGAGCATGGGCATCTAATTCAGGCAGTTATTACTTTTGGCCATTGTGTTATGGCCTGTAAATACCTTAATTTCACTCTTACAGTTTTTTGGTTTACCAACAAATGCTTTTGATTGTTGTCCCTCTGCATTTTTATCTGTGCTCTTTATCCTCTACTTTAGTTGTCACATAGTAAAATGTATTTTTCTAAAGTTGGCTGCAACAATGTCTCCCATTCTCTCTCTCTCTCTCTCTTTTTCTTCTTCTTCTTCTTCTTCTTCTTCTTCTCTCTCTCTCTCTCTCTCTCTCTCTCTCTCTCTCTCTCTCTCTCTCTCTCTCTCGTGACTTTAGTACTCTTTCGCTGTGGAGATGAGGTTAACCCGGGAGCTACACTCCTTCCTCTGGCGTCTTGGAGGGACTCCCATCCACTTGCAGTCAATAGGATGCACCGTGTATGATAGAACTTCAGTGTGGCTATCTGGAATTCTTGTACTAGAGCCACAAGCCTTCAAACGAGCTGACTGATGGCCATTTGGCAGTCATGCTATGAGAAGGAGCCAAAGTAGCTCAGACTGAGAAAACACGTGGAGACTTTCTGAGAAATCATGAGAAGGGAGAGGTAGCTATCTAATCTGTCACCAGCAATCTCTGTTCCAAATGTTCTAGCTCCAGCTACCATTTGATTGTAGCTAGAGGGGAGATCCTGAAATCAGATCATATAACTGAGTCATTTTTGAATTCTTGACCTACAGAAGCCATTAGATATTATGAAATTGTGGTTTTTAGTTTAGGCTACCATGTTTGAGATAATTTATTACTCAGCAGCAGAGTCAAAACACTCCTCCTCTACAACTTTTCCTTTGAATAATTTAACACTTATTAACTTTAATATAATGCAAGAAATTATCTTTGTGACCTTGAGTACATCCCTACTCGCCTGAGCTATTAGCCTGAAATTCTACACCTTGGAGTGGATAATGTCGAAGGGAAGAGTGGAAGAAGGGTACACAGAATCCCATGTTGTTCTTCCATTGTGCTGTGGGTCCAAGTTTTATAATTAAGTTGAACACACACAGCAAACATGATGCTCTCAGTAGGTCCTGAACATAGTCTGACCATGTGCGTGGTTATAAATCTATCATCTGTTAATCATGTAGCAGCCAAGGTTATCCCGAAACACAAAAACTAGTTTCACAACACCACTCAGCTCACACCTTCCAGTGACTTCCATCACTGTGAATCAAGTCTGTCTTTCTGTCATCTGGAAGGCTCAGTGTGATTTAGGCTGTATCCACTTCTCTCATCCTAGCTGATTTCTACTGTAGAGTTTTTACATTTTCTGTTTTCTCTGCTTCATGCCCTTCCCCAATCTCTGTATGCTGTATGGCTCATTCTTTCACTCCATGTAAATTTTTGCCACAGTGCCTTTTTCTATGACTTTCCTTCTTTTACTGTCCTCTGTAGAGTTGTCCCTAAAACTGGCTCCTTTGACATTGTCTTTTTCTATGCTTTTTAATTTCACATATCATGTTACTCTGAAATTATATGCATAGCATCCTATGGACAAATTTGTGTTTTCTTAGATTTATCTGAGGCTACCAGATGACAGCATGGAGTGTTATTCATTGTTAAGTTATAAAGAAGGTTTCAGACCTCTACGATAGAGACCCATCTATCTGCCCAGTGCCTACCGTAAGAGAACGGGGCAGGGGAGAAACATTCTATTAGAAGGAGATTCAAGAGAAAGTATCATGGCAGAGAGCTGCTAATGGCCACACCTGTATTGAATTCCACCTCCTGGAGGAAAGGAATTTCCTAGTAACATAAGCCAAGTAAATAGTAAGCAAACTGCCCAGGAAATGTGACCTGTGCCCTGGGTTCTGGTGGACATGGGCAGTTGAAGGGACTAAAGTCAGGTTCTTGTCCATGGAGTTGTAAGGCGAGAAGGTGGATGGAGCCTCCCGGAGGGCAGTGCAAGGAGGAAGGACCAGAGTGAGAACGAGCCTCCTTCATTGAGGGTACAAAAAGATGTTCACGCTTTCCTAAAGGCTTGAAGACCTAGACTGTGTCCACAGCTGTCGATCTGAAGAGGACCTTAACCAAGAGAACTTCCTTGCTGTTCCTGGAAGAAACCCAGAAGAAGGTTGAGGGTGGAGTGTTGAAGGCTACAGCAGGACTGTGGGTTAAGAGGGTGGGTGAGTGGGTGAAGGAGGTCAGAAGGGACCTCACTGAGAGACAACACTCTTACGCAGAAATGGTTCTGATAGGTCTCTGGTGAGATGAAATTACCAAAGGACCTACAAATTTGTTCATGGAAGAAAGAGCTGGTTTACAGCTCTCCCCTTCACTATCATCCTTTTCTTCTTTCCTCACTCTGCTAAGCCTGGAGGAGTCTGGCAAGAAGATGAGAACCAAAAATGACAAACTAAGAATCTAACCACATCTTTTACCTTTTCTATGTAGTCCAAGATAAAGGACAAGTTAAAACCTACAAATGGGTGATAAATGGATACTTTATTTTATAGTGATATTAACTTGGGTTGAAATTTAAAATTCTTGGAAATAAGACTGTTTGACAATACTTAGAAATAAATAAAAAGCTGTACTCTGGGCCATAGATTTCAGGGACACAGTGGGTCAAGAAGAAGGCTTTAGCATATTAGAAATGTCCTGATGATCAGCAAAAAGATTTTGCTTCACACTACCGGATATACATTAAGTAAACTTGTTATATACATACTTACTTATTAGACATTTACTGTCTCTTACATCAAAGGCTATACTCAGGAAGGCAAGGTCTTTGTCTACATTTGTTTACTGTTATATCCATCATTTAGAAGAAGGTTAGCACCTTGGATTTATGCTGAGTGTATTTTCTTTGATAAAGGAATACTTCAAGAATTGAAATCATAAACTATTGTTGTGTAGGTATTTTAATCCTTTGGCATAGAGTCACTCTCACAGGACATATTCGTGTGGCTTCCAGGGAGTTGGGTGCAAAGGAAGAATGAGGTAGAGATCTAATATTCTGGTGCAACTTAGCTGTGATCTGGTAAATCCCTTGGCTGTACTGCATGTCACTCCGCTTAGTCCCTGAATAAGGATTTCATTGCTTAGCTGAGAAGGTCATGGTGAGGATTATGCTCATGGAGAACATCCAGTTTCTAGTGCATCATGCCTGTGAACTGTCCTTTCCTTTCTCTTTTCCAGCAGGAAGAATACCTTGTCAGGCCTGGCTGTGATTTTTCTGGTAGACAGAGCCATCGGACTTTTGAATTCAGAAGGGTAGCTGTGATTTGCAGCACAAACAGTGTTTTGTCTGGGAGTTCCCTGGCCTCAGAGGTGATAGATGGGCACCTCTCAGGCATAGTTCTTAGATCAATAAGCCATAAAGTCTCAAATTATTTTGTTAGATCCATTGATTACATCCATCGAATTTATCCCAACTCTTTTATGGTTTAGGCCAAGAGTGGTGATGGTTTGTTTCTTTTCCTTACTGCATTCTTTCTTCCATTTGGCTTCAGGGAACTAGGTAGCAGTGTAGAAAAGTCTAGAAGTTGAGAATGAAAGTTACTATCTGTACACATCGATAGCAAAATGCTTATTTTGGTTGTTTCTTTCAGAATGAAGCAGCATGGATTCCTTTTGTGCTGTTTTCTTCTCCTAGAAGGTCTTTAATGTTTTGGGACATTTATGTCTTTCTTGCTTACATCCATTCAGGTAATTATGATTCACGCTATCGTTTAGGAAACATCAAGTAACATAGGTGAGTTACGTTTGAGTGAGTGTTTGCTATGAGATCCTGCTATGTTTAGCTTCCTAAGAAGCTGCAAGATTTGTTAGGTTCTTGGCACATAGATGTAGCTTAATTTTTATTGTTAGATGATTAAATTGAATTGGTTATAAAGTAGAAACATTTATTCACTCACTTAACAAATACTTATTGAGTACATTCAAATGTAAAACATAGTAACTTTCAGGGTGGCCATGTTTATGAAGGAATAGATAGAATCCCTAGTGTATTTTCAAGTACAAAAATACATTCTTAATAACTAATAAATGGTTTTATACTTGTTTCCTAATAATTTTGAACTAAGGAAAGCAACTTATTCTGCCTATTTATATGATTGTTTACATTAGAAAATACTACTGCTAAGAATCTCTGATTGCTATACAATAAACAGAATAGTTTAATTATTGTTCTTAGTATTTTACTTTTATGCCCTGTCTTCCAAACATATACATGATTATTTAATGGAAGAAGAATACAACCATCATGGAATTACCCAGCCCCCAGGGATTCTAGAAAGGATAGGTACAATCAAGTCTTATTTTAGTGAGTAAAATACACTCATCATTAGAGATAAAGACATTTAGCTCTCTGTATAATGTAGGTTGCCTCAGGTAGCTAAACATTTTTCTTTTTTTAATGAGAGTCTTATTCACCCTCCTTAAAAATGAATCCAATATTTTGCAATTCATTTTTATTTGTGTGTTTATAGAGTGGTTTTCTAAAGGAGATATTCAACAAAGAGCTTCAAAAATTACACATATTTTTTAATGTCTTGTTAAAATGGAGAAACAAAATTTATCTTCCGCTAACTTAACTTCTGCCCTTTTTCCTTGTTTCTTCTGTTTTCCCATTGTCACTAATAAACAGTTTCTGGGTGCCTTCTATCTGAATACTGTGGTGCACTTTCTTCCTCCTCCAAATTTTTGTTTATAAGCTTTTGTTTCGTTGGACTATATCCCACACGCCCCTTATCCCCTCAGTCTTCCACTTTTTTACAGTTTAAGCATCTTTCCCATGTATCT